CGAAAATCGGTTGAGAATGAAGAAAGTTCTGAAACTTTGAAGTTCGCAGGACGACACCGCGCATTTTTTTTTCGCGCGAAGAAAAATGAAAATAAGCCAATTTCATTTCTCACTTCGCCAACGATCTGAACGGTCGTGCTCTTGCTCACGCCACTTTCATTCCTCAACACGCGGTTTACGTGGGGAGCGGTCGTGCACGTGCATGCTTATAAGCTGAAATCACTCCAATTCCTTGGAAAATTGACCAAATCAGGAAAATTTTTTTTTGTTTGAATCCTCTTCAGAATTTCATTGCTGGAAATGCAGCGAGATAATCAACTCATCGGTTACTCGAACTAAGAAAAAGGAATCTGTATGACACAAATAAAAATGCACGGTTGTGAGGAAGGCATCAAAGAACTCGATAAAACGCGCCCCAATGCAAATATACATACAAGCATATACTCTTATTTACAGAAACTAGATCACAATTGGTACACAACATGAAAACGATATGATTAACTGAAAAGTGAACCGTATTGAGCAGAGTTACACGTTGCACAGACTAGATTAGTTATATACAATTCTTCAAGAATCTCTCAGATACTTCTGTTTAAACACACACTGAGCGCACCTAAGAATAAGCTGTCCAGCAGAGGTTATATCATGAATATCAACTTGAGTGAAATATGATGTTGATATATTGAAAACACTAGAAAAGGGGGCAAAAACTTTCTGTTCCGAAGCATCCTTTATGGCTTGCAGACGAGCGTTGTATACTGGCAAAACGGTGGTGCATCTTAGACAAAGAGAATTATTAAGAAAAAATTGGAAGTATGCCGAGTACCTGGGTCTTACTCCATCTCCTAAACCTTGTTGAGTCAGAAAGTTGGTGAGGATAGTGAAGATAACTCGTAACCTAAGATTAAGATATGTTAGTCGTATTGCTCAGTTGAACTCACTTTGGGGAATGAGTTGTTTTTTTGGACTTGACCAAGTTGGAAAAGAAGCTCGACTCGTCCTTCGAAGACTGAAAAAAGCGATAAAGCAGCTTCATTCAGGAGAAAAAACCTTTTCAGTCCAATGTATGAAATGAGGAAGAATATCTTCGTTTATGGCGAACTTAGGTGGTAATTTTTGGCAATATGAGATGTACCATACGAGAAACCGATACAGCACGATAACGAAAGCCGGCTCATTAGTGACATGTCTGTAGAGTAACCAGTAAAAAGTAATAGCCACCTTATTCGCTTACTTGGGTTTGAGATTAAGTAAGTAAGTATTGAGCGATAGGAATAAGCTGTCTTCATGTATCCCAAAGTCCAAAAATGTCTTCAGAGTTAGCGGCAGCATATCAATTTTGTTTTCCGGACTGCAAGATAAGTTAAAAGGTAACAGAGCTCGCCGTTAGCACTTACCCTGGAATCGTTGTTAAATAACCGAAAATCTGAGTGTTATAACTATTGGGGAACTGAACCCACTCCATCAGCAGGCCCCATGTACAAACATTCCCTGAAAATGGGAATCAATCATAGAACCACATCTTCAAACGTACTGTGGAAAAATATGTCAATCGTTTTCTCCAAAGTATTTAAAGCCTGGGGCAGATTATTAGCAGCTAAAGAAGGAACAAGGTTTGCTAAGGAGCAGAGAACAAGTGGAGATTCAGGCTTCAGTTTCAAATATTCATTCCAAACATTCAACACAGATTCTGGAATAAAATAAAGAGGAATTTCTGGCAAAACTTTAGAACTACCTTCAAATCCTGGCTCTGTTGCTGAAGTCCAGACAGTTATGAGCTCTTTAATAACGACAGAAAATGCACGCAAGTTATCTGAAAATAAGAATTCTCTATATCAGTGTATGAAGTCAAACCATGTTTCAATGCCAAACTATCAACTTCTGATATGAGAGAGTTGTACGCAGCTGGAGCATTTTTTTCTCCCCCTCGGAGTAGAAGAGCACATTGTGTTTTACACCATAACTGTTGTTTCATGAGAGTGGGAGTGGAGTACTTCTGATTAGGGGTAAACTGACATATCTTTCTCCAGATTCTGTAAGCATTCGATACGTCTCTGAGAAAAGTAACAACTAACATTTGCAAAACAGCGACTTGTTCTGTGGCGTTGAACAAGCAGTTGAATGGCATAACTTTCGCTACAGTTTCAGCCAGAGACTGAGCATCTTCAACAGTTACCATAGCCCAATCACTTCTCAATGAGAGAGTCTTCAATATTTGAAGAAGGGAAGCTGCTACCTGAATGAATACATGTGTAGGGAATATTTCTGACACTCAAATAGTACTTTTGAATAGAATCCTTCTCTTGCTGTGATTCTGACAAAGCATGAGAACAACATAGCCATATAGGAGGGAGAGGTTGATTTCTCAACCTAAAGAGAGAAATTGAGATCAGATAAAGATGATATGAACAAACGTTATTATCGATGTGATCTTTCCACGGTATGCGTACAAACAGCTGTGCCAAGAAAAGTGTACAATCCTGACTTCGGTTAGCCAAGCAGTCATCCATTTGTCTCAGCACATGGAGTGGGGGATAGAAGTTATTCCAACTCAACCTTATGAAATATTTTTCCTGAAAAATATATTTATAGTCAAATGAGTGTATGTACGAACATACAATGATGGTGTAATAGAAAGCAGTTCCTTGCGTTACTAGAATAGACATATCATTGTAATAGAACTGCCACACTAAGGATAGAACGTTCCTATGTCCAGCAGGGATATGAATATTTTCAGGCAAAGCTTTCAAAAGGTCCACCAACTTTGTGAAGACCTGTCACAATATGATTTAATCAGAAAAACGTAATATAGTCTCACATCAGCTATGACTTCTTCATGAGATGGAGAAAACGGCGGTACATTCTTAGAAGCCGGTAGGACAAGAGTACCCCACAAACATGTTATTTGTTGGAACAGTTTGTCAAGATCTGTAACAGTACGTACACAGAAACCCACGATTATATACCTTCTTGCATTTTCAACAAAGGTGTATCAGGAGAAAAGCACTCGCGAACTGGTGTGAACACGAAGAGCTGCATTAAGCTTGTCAAAGGTCCAAGGTATTTCCCGATTTCTGAGTACAATGTATTCATTGATTTGGCTCTTGCCTCCATAAGCCTAGCTCCTATTAGAGTTGTGAGCTCTGTGCACTAAATACACGTTCAATTACAGAAATGTTAATTTCAACTCACAGTCGATATCGGTACAGTCAATTCCCCAGATCTTGACATCCAGTCTTTCGCCCCCAGTTTATTAACATATACTTCAAGCAAAGAAACCGGAAGAGCTTTCCTGATGCATCCTGAAGGAGTCAGATGTTCGGAAATGAATAATGTTGTTCAAAAACCTTGGAGTGTCAAGTCTAAGCCATTCTTGAAATTCACAGGAAACGCATGAAGAACAAAGGTAACGACGTGCTGGAAGCATAACTTATGCAAATCAGAGTCTTCATCTCGTTGACTTTCTCTGTAAAAGTCGGAATAGAGTCCGATATTGAACGAAAAATTACAAATTTTGGAACGCTAAGAGCATCAGAGGAGCGAATTGATGAGGTGGGAAGTTAGCAGCATTCTTGTCAATCGATAGACGGTCTTAAATCGAAGGAGGTAAGATGTTTTCTCACAGAAGTACTGACTTAATAACTGCATAGCTCTTGAGCAATGTTCTGGATTCCGTACTGCAGTTGACATGCAGCTGTAAGCCTGACACAGATCAAGAACACTCAAACAATCAGGAGTGAAGCTTTCGACTAATGGGGCCGATAGAACGAAACCATCCAAGACTTTCTGCATCACTTCAAGTTGTTCTCGCGGATGATACGCTATGAATGCCTTTAAGAAGTGTAAGAGTTCGAGAAAAGATAGGAACAAACCTGAGCTAATGTTCTCAGAACATTTTCCAATGTACCCGATGCGGCTGGATAGAGAAGAACAACAGTAGCAAATTTTTCCAGACTATCTTGGATACAATAGAAAAGAGTTTTTCCAGAGGAATGAATAGCTTCACGCTCACTGGGATGCGCATCTCGATATGCATATGCCAATTGCCTGAACCATATTACTTGATGAAGAATTGAGATATATGAGGTTACCTAGCTATCTGCTCCAAACCCGCAGTCTGTATAGCTGTCTGATTAATCAAGTTCTCCGACTTTGCAATGTAAAGCCCTTCTCTGGAATAATTTTCTTTACTATAATATGAGAATTGGAATTAACCTCTTGTTTCTATTAGCAAGTATTTGAGCATCTACAGCATTGTCAAACTCGTGTGGATTAACCTGAGAAGATTCACGTCAAACAGTATCAATTGAGGAACAATCCAAAACTCACAGTTATCTGTCTATTCAAAGGACGAGGACACGAGTGCGAACATCGAATAGTGATGTTCAAGTTCTTGGATACTTGCTTGAACCTCTGCGAAACCAATTTGAAATACTCCACATCTTCCTGTTCTATCTCTTCGGATAGAGCGGCGACATCACTACAATAATATCTTTGTTGAGACGAAAATATCTCATACATACTCTGACAGATTATGAATCATAATGACGTTAGGATTTGATAGTTTCAACACTAAATCAGGGCTCATAGCCATCTTCGAATAGACAATTGGCGATGGAGTCAAATTCGGGTGTGCAGGTAATGTGCCAAATGGAAGAGCATGAGATTGTAAGTATCTAAAGTAGCAGTTCAATGACTTTTCTATCAGTACTTTCTCACGGTTTAATTTTGTCCGAACGTGTTGGAGATCTTGGAGTTTCCCTCTTCATCATATGACATGTAGCTGCATAGAGCTGTAACATTAAAAAATGACATAATGTCAAAACACACAAACAAACCTTTACATCCTTCTCATTTTCTGCCGTGATTATGTTCACATTCACATGCTGCAACCAGACACTCTGAAACATGTCTGTACACCCTGAACCTCATTCCGATTATTACATTTTCTCCTGCAAGAATCATCTGGAGCAAATAGTCCAAATCGAAGATGGAGAAGTCGAAACCTTGCCGTGAAACTTCCACAACGGTGAAGAGCCATCCCATCACAGCTTTGATGAATCTTAAGAAAAAAAATATGTTTAAACTTCTCTTCCCTAACCCGAAATCCTGGATGTCATTGTCTCGGCAAACTTTTTGAAGGGCGACTTTACAGTTCTCAATAGTCCCTGCCGCTTCAGTGCAGTCCAATAACTTCCTCGCAAACTGACATTTTTGTCTTCAGAAATCAAAATTAACACAGAGTATTATTGAATTCAATATACCCCAAAGCAGCTCTGATTGTGAAAGCATCCGTCGTTAATCTCTGTAGAACTAAAGGCAGCAGAACGCTCTTCTCACACATGGGCACGAAGATAGCCCATCGATAAACGTTGATGTTGTTCAGCTTAAGATAGTAAGAGCATTTCGCTGAAGCTTTCTGAAGAAACAGATAAATGAACAGAAGTTATTTCGAAATCTAACCAGCATAGCAGTCTCAATAGTGTTCTTATCCTTCTTTGCTAAATGATTCCATATATACTGATAGAAGTCAGGAAATGAACGACTCTCGATGAGTAGTAAGAGGTAAGAAGCATATAAGGAAACGTTAAGATGACTGTCTTCGATTAAAAGAGCAGCAGAAGGAGTTGATGAGAACATGCTGAACATCCCTTTAGATTTCTCCTTTGCAGATGGTAGCATGGATTTCGTATAGTGTTCATGCAACTGATCCAGTATTCCTAAGAAACTGTGAGCATCTTGTAAAAAAGCGATACGTGAGATTGTCCCTAGTATTTGGAGTACAACCTTTAGAGAAACCATTTGTATGCGGAACGATTATTAAGATGATGAGTTACCTGATCGCTGTTCCAACCTTCTATTCCATTGATGCATAACAAGTAAACCCATGCTTTCAAGTATGCGGCTAGGTCTTTCACTCGTTTTGAATAGAACTGAAAAAAAATGTTTCAAATTATTAATATCAATTAGGTCACACAGAAATAGATGAGCAAATTAAGCGCACGATCGGTGTAGCTTCTGATGAAGGTCCTATCAACCATTGCATGGCATACGAACATTGGTCAACATGGATGACTCTCGAGAAGACATCTAGGAATCTGAAACACTTCTCTTTCTTCTCTCGAAAATGTGTAATAGCTAACGCTTTGTTTTTGCCAAGATCTTCTACATTACGATAGAACTCAGAAATGACTCTGCTCAGAGAGACAACTGAGGCAGTCGACGATCCAGAAGAAATTAACTCATGAAGTAAGCTGACGCCTTGAGTAAGAAAAACGTTGAAACTGAAATGTATTTTTTTTCTATGACATTAAAAAATATATGATCTACCTTGTTAAGCAATCTTGTGAAAGGGTGATGAAATAGCCCGCCAGATCTGGCTGATCCTTTTTGGTACTTTTCGATAACTGAAGTGGATCAAGAACTACGAATTAGATAAGAAGATGGGTTACTTGTGTGGGAAGTTTCAATTTTATGAGTATATCCCAACAAAATCGAAGAAACAGCTGTTCATGCTCCGCCATTTTATTCGCCATTTTAGAAATTTGCTTCATAGTTTTTGTAATCATACCGTTTGAGCTGTCGCAATGTACAAAATGAGCCTGCAACAACATTACGTGATCTGAAGATATCCAGGACTACCTTCATCACAATATCAGCACATATCACATGAATATTTTCAGAGACCCATAGTTCCCCCGTGGCAGTATATCCCCAGTAAATGCCAGATAATATTTTCCTAGCTAGTCTATTGGCAGGGTCATCGGGAGCCTGAAAAGACATGTTTCACATGTCTATAATCTAAGAACGTACTTTGTTAATAAGCCATTTCCCCAAAGTGCTCATAACACCTTCAGAAACTTTACAACACGTCAGTGGAGCGAAAGCCAAAACTTGAATGGCATACTGTAAAAGAGGTCAAGTTCAAGAAATTGAAGTATATCTCACATCTCCCATATGCTCCATGTTCCTATCCAAAGTTAGAATCAAAGAATCAAAGCATGTAGGCCTTTTGCTGATTATTGTAGCAATAGCTTCTCCTCCCACTTTATAGAGCAAATCTCTCGCTGTTTCATCACAAAAGCATACCTTCAAAAAAACAAAATCAAGTGGTTCACAAAAAAAACTCACATCTATAATCTCTTTCAGGAAAGGAGATGGATCATTGAAAGAATAAGATATGATGGTCGACACGGCATTGATCACAAAAACCGCATCAAGATTGGACAACCGTTCTGTGCGTTCTTTTAAACCTCCTAATATGATACAATATCTGATGTTATAGCGACAAAAAGCTACCTTGTTGAATACCCTGGTTAATAGTTGCCATGGGCAGATCATATATTTCCTTGATATCATATGGAACACAAGACCGTAAAATGAATTCACAACGCTTGCGACAGTCCTCTGTTACAGTTTCATATGGCAAATCCACAAGAAATTGTAATAAACCAGCGCTACATATAGAGAACAGTAAAGAACTATTAGAAACAAACTAAGGTACCTTTCACGATTCAAGAGATACAACAGAACTAACAGCATAACACGGTCGTATTCCTTCTGAAGTTGTTCACTCTCGAAATGGCCTATGATATTTTTTGTAAGTGTCCAATGTGAGGACAAACTGCATATGCTTTTTCTGAAGACAGCGGACTTATTTCAAAAACGATTCTTTGCGATCATACCTAACATTCATTCCAATTTGTTTGCATAACTGTTTGTACGTTGGGGATGAATAAGTAGTTAACCCTTCATCCAATATCTGACAGATCATATGAACAGCATAAGAATTAATTAATTTACCTTCATGAGCAACAATTGAAAAGCTAGCAAAGCCAGAAACTGTTCAGTTCTATCGTTGACTGAAATAAACACTTGATTATAGTTTGAATTCGTGTCAAATTTTACTTTCTCTGGAGAAATGTTGAAATGCACAAGAATAAGCCTCTGGTATAGGCACCTGATCAAGTAAACTAGCAAGATCAGTTTCAGATATTGTAACGAAGGAGAAGTCTCCCTTAAAAAAAGATAACGCTTTACCATTTGTAGATCATAATTTCTAACCTCTTCATCTACATCATCACTCAACATGGTCCATGCATTATCCTCTTTCTCTGACTGGCCGATGAGCTTGAGGAAGGAGCTCCGCTGTCTTGAATAAATGGATTTTGAATCAAAGTGACTCTCTCTTACTTTATAGGTCTCATTAGATGAGAAAGTAAAGCTAAGCTGTAATCCAACTTAGTTTTCGTAGAACAAGCGCACTGAGAAAGAACATAATCACTAAGCAAACAGTATTTGATCAAACTCACTTGTATACCTATGTATGTTTGAATCATAGGAGCTGCCCATGTCGCTACGGGAGATGGAAGCCGCAAAATATGATTAATAATAAACAACCCATCAGTTGGCAGGAAGTACATTTGAAGCACAGCATTCTGAAAGCGAATGAATAAGATTTTGAACTCCGGAAACATACCAGCTCCAAAATCCATCCTATCACTGCTTCAGCAAACTGTGGAGGAACAGCTGGAGCCCTTAGGTAGTAGAACAAATCGGAAAGGGCATTCAACAATAACGAGCGAGATGTTAGTCTGGCATCGCAGTCCACCACTTCAAAGGTTATACATTAGTTGCTTCATAAATAAAAACATACAGCACGGTAGTGACTCAACCGTTAGTCCTCTTTCTTCCATGAAAAGACTATTGATTCTTATTATTTCCCATTGGACCTGAAAAGAGTAACGTAATCTCACACATGATCTAAAAAAAACCTGGAGAGCTAAGGAGCGGAAAACAGCTTCCCCGCTAATCACTTGATCAATCGTTATTACTCTGTTTGTATTTACAACTTTCTTCAGATCAGTCATAGCTGCTGATGAGAACATAGTAGAAGGGAACTCTACTTTGCCTATGCCATCTTTATTCTCTCCACATTTTCCCTACGACAGATAATTCATACTCATTAAATGAGAAATCGTACCTTGAATTCTCGTTTATCGGTGAAGGTACTCCAGCAATTCGAGAAAGCGTTAGTTTGAGAAATTTTGTTTTCAGCTTCAGCAACTCTCGTTGAGGAAAGTTCATCGGTTATAGTTCGTAACCTAGCCAATAAAGAGAATAAAGGTCCTGATGGATATTCGTTGCTCTAAAACTTCGAATTGAAAATGTCATATCAGTTTTCTAACCTGTAGGAAATTTGTGACAAATTCATCTGTAGATTCATACAAAGGGTTATGATAATACTGGAGTAGTTCTTGCTCGACCATGAGACCTTGTGCTGTTCGGGGAAAAACTATTCTAGAGAGCTCAGGGTATGGCGGAGCTTCTTCGATTACTGCTGACTCTCGAACCTAGATATGCATATGTTTTCTTTCAATTTCCCAGCGCACTACCTTTGCTTTCACAACAGATTCGTTTTCAAATTTACTTAGGCCTTCAGAAAGTTCTGGCACGCATGGATATGCGGTAGGTTGTTGAAGAACTTCCCTTGGTAGCTCATGAGTCACCTGCGTCCTGAGAATCTCATTTTTGATTGAGGTTAGCGAACACGAACCTTTCTGTTATGTTGACTATACTGTTTACAGTTTCTTGTGCGTCTGAAGTCTTAGGGAATATTAATTTGCTAATATCAATTGCCGGGCTTTGTTCATCTATTGATACTCGCGGTGATAATGGGACATCCTCGGCTATATCTCTTCAAAAATAGTTTTGGTGATAGATAGTTTCAGTTTTCTTACAATTCTTCAGGTTGTGGTGACTCCACACGTTCTTCTTCTGGCGCAATCTCTTCAACTTCTGTCGGTTTAGGAGTTATAATACTACCAACAGCATGAGTAGGGACGCCAGGAAGTACATAGCCATTAACTACTACATTTCTGGATGGAATAGGTGGTGGAACATCAGGCAAAGGCCTTGCTTTAGGTTTGGGTTTCTTTTCTTTAACAGCCTCCATCTAAACAACGGGAAAAAATAATGACAATACGCAATTTGTAAATGTTATCATACGCGATGTAGTACCGAAACGTGTAAGTAACACAATAAATATTATTTTTCGCTTCATAATCAACCGCTCTTCACCTTTGAAGCATTAGAAAATGTCATTCACGTTTCACGTGAATGTTTACCATTCACGTAACTTTGCGTACGTGGTCTCGTTTCAAATTACATTTCGAGCAGTTGCAAAGAGCACAGACCAATTGCCTCAATTTCTCCTCTCTATATATAGCTAGAAATCGATGACTATGTTTTTTTTTTCAGAAACCTACTCTCTAGATGGGCAATGAGACTTCAAAAGGTTCTTCTGCAAAGAGTTCAGGTGGTGGTTTAGGTTTGTTTGTTTTAGATTATAAGTGAGCATAGATAGCTAATTAAGGACTGAAGTCTGGACCATCATCTAATGTTGTACAAAGACATATTGAAAATGCGAGAAAGAGTAGAATACTACAATTGAAAAATACAGGAATAAAGAAATTGCCGGATGCACTGCAGCAGGTATTTCATAATTTAAAACTATCACATGACGCGCTTTCGTTCTAGGTCTCAGATGTCATTCGTAACTTAGATTTAAGCTTTAACAAGATTTGTGAAATACCATCTTATATTGGACAATTTTCTCATTTGAAACAATTACATCTTGGAAATAATAAACTGGGCAAGCATGCATTGTCCCAAACTGGCTAATGTGATAGTTGCAGAGAACCTACCCGAGGAGATCGGCTCTTTGAAGAACTTGGAGGTTCTGTCAGTTCAATGTAATCTTCTTTCTAGTCTTCCTTCTACATTAGCTGCTTGTACATCTCTGAAAAATATTAATTTATCTTCAAACAACTTCACATCATTCCCGATTGAATTGTGCCAATTGCTTTGTATAGAAATGATTGACATGTCGAACAACAAAATCACTGCCGTCCCTAAGGAGGTTACAACAATCACTGTTAACCATTTATTAACTTTCTTCTTTCAGATATCGACATGCAGAGCTACTGAACTGAATATTAATCAAAACAGATTGGCTGTTCTTTCTGCTAGTCATTTGAAAGAATGCCCAAACCTCAAGTTCCTTCGTGTAGAAGAGAACTGCCTTCCTAAACAACAGTTCACGAAGGATATACTTGAGGACAGTAACATCTCCATAATAGCCTTTGCTGGAAATCTCTTCCAGGACAAAGAGTTCCAGGTTATAAGACCACCCATTCATAAAATATTTCATCATCTGTTCAGGGATTGGATGGCTACGATAGTTACCAAGATAGATACACTGCCACCAAGAGGAAAATGTGATTTTTTAAGCTTCAGTTGTAAAGATCCATTTCGTCACCATCGTATTCATAAATATTTAATTCAAACATTAAAACGAAAATCAGCATAAAAATCTGTTGAAATCAGAGCTCATATCTACATGCTTTAATCCTTCTTGAGATTCCACATTTGATATTGGATCCAAGGAAGTACAGAGTACACCGAGGAGTAAACTCCTGGGTGTCCTGGTCGACCACATCCGATGCCCCAACTAACCAATCCTTGCACTTCCCATTTTCCATTGAATGAGCACATCAAAGGTCCACCAGAATCTCCCTTAACATCATTAATTACATTGCTAATGTTATTGAAAAGCTAACCTGGCATGAGTCAAGATTTCCCTGGCTATATCCAGCACATATCATGGATGGCAAGTGTACCCTTCCTCTAAAATTCTCGAGATTGTTGCATTCAAGCCAAGGGACGATTGGAACATGGATTTCCCGTAACTCTTGTGACTTTCGACCATTTTCGGATAACACTCCCCAACCTAAAGATTCTTTCGTATTAGGCAGACTGCGTGTAAGATTACCTGCAACAACACAGATACCGTTGATAGGAGCTGGTAAGGCTGGAAGGCAGATTTTTCGCACAGTGTCTGTGATATTAGCAGGGGGGTCGATTCTATAGGCATAGTTTTCTAAGTTCTCAGCAACACTGTTACCTTAGTACAGCCACATCATACGAGTTAGGCCATGCAATGTTGAAAAGATCGTGGATGGCTATATCCGTTACATTGCGAGGTATTCCACTTCCGGACTTATGTCCACCTAGCATAACTTTGTACATGGAGGGGATTCGGCTATAATTCATGTCTAAGTATAATTTTTTGTTTTTGGAAACCTTCTGGCGAAGCAATGAGCTGCCGTGAGGACAAAGTTATTGTCGATAAGGGCTCCTCCACATCTGTGAATACCATTGAACATAAGCTGTACAGTCCATGGCCAAGAATGTGGTTTAGTTACGAGGCCACCAATGAGTCTATTTTCTTCCAACTAGAGATATAACTTAGTATTTTGAGTGATTGATTAACATACCACAAAATTAGCAGGTAAATGATAGGTATGGGCGTCGTCAGTTCTGTTAGCTCCATATACTCCACATTCATCATCACAGAATATTAAGGGGAAAATTAGGAAGAATATTAGTAAACGCATAGTTAGTTGCAATAATAGCTCTTTTTCAACTCCTGAGTCCCCTCCTATTGATTGATCGAGCATCTAAGGCGCCCATTTTTTGATCTATTTTCGTTGATCCTCTTTGGACATCCTCGTGTAATCGATAAATTGATGTAATTTCCTTCGTGTTCATGCTTGCTTTGAATATTATATATTAAGCTTCTTCTTATAGCTCATAATGGATAAAGAATCTTCAAATGAAAAATACTATGAGTTATATCTTATATGGGTATGTCACATAGAGATAAGATAAGTGAACAACTTGTTCTTTTCAGGTTCGATCCTTGCGATGTTCAGTCTCATATGATATGGACCTTCATTCTCTTCGGAATTGTGTGAACTTCTCAGAGATATTGCATAGAATGTAAATTCGAGGAGTCATAACCAAATGAGACTTGGTTTCTTTACAGAGATGACGAATACTTCACTGAAGAATGGGTTAACACTTTCGCCAACTATGACACGGATTCTTCCTGGCGTGTTAAAGCAGGAAATTTGAGAAAAGTTTGTTTGAATGTTCTAGTCTTATCTATTACCATTGTTGTTTAGCTACTTAAAAAGCTAACAGAGTATCTTGAACTTCACACAGGAAGGACTATTGCTCATAATTCCTTTTGGGTGATAGATGAACAGCTGTTATGTAAGTTGGTAATCAGCTTAAACTTCTCATGTGATGCTTGTAGGCGAAGAAGGAGATGTTCAACAAGTGGTTAAAGTTTTCAACCTTATCATGGTCACTGCTCTTTTGGGCCAGAACAAAATGGGTTAGTAATGCACAGTGTGAACAATACATTCGACTGTTTTTCAGAATTTGTAAATTTGGCAATGGAACAATCCCCTGATGTACAGCAACTAACAATGACTGCTGTTACTAACTTCACTCAAAATTCGAAAGAGTCTAACGATTTATCACAGGATGAAGTAGGAGTTCATTAATGTATTCAATTAAAGCCACATTCTTCTAGGATAACTTTGAAGTCAGTAATGGAAACTCTTTCATTTCTAATGAAGTCGACAGGGTCAATGTGCTTGCCCGAGAGGTAATGGTTTCGTTTTCATAGTATGTCTTTTCTCTTTCGCATATTGATAAAACCTGTTTTTAGTGATATTTTCCATCAATTGTTTCGCATAAGATTGATTATCGCAGTAATTTTATGACTTTTTTTCCAGAACGAAGAACTACGAGCAAACAACGCCAAACTAGAGTCAGAGTTAGAAAAAGTTCATGCAGATTTGCTTCATCTGAGTAGCGCTCCTTCGATTGACAAACTGGAGAAGGAGAAGAGTGAGTTGAAGGTTAGTTTGTTTTGGAAAACAAAGCAAAGTCTTCATTACCTTCCAGAAAAGAAAGGAAGTCATGGAAGAAAGAGCTATGGACTTGGAGGCTAAGTTAGAAAGTCTGAACAATAATTTGGAATTGAAAGAAACTGAGTTAGAAACTCTTAGAGAGAAGGTAAACTTTCTCAATTTGCATCAATCACCTGAGCATTCAGGTTGATAAAATACATGTCTTCGAAGATGATTATACTCGTATGCGAGATGAGGTTCGTTCATTTACACTGTTTGGTTGTTAACAGCACAAACCTTCAGATCGAAGAACTTCGCGCACGAGATCTTGAAAACAAGAAAATTTCGAAAGATTTTGAGAATCTGAAACAACGTAATAAAGAAGCTCTAAATGATAAGAATGAGGTTTGTATCTTTTAGTTTTATCGTCATTATCATGTTCTTATAGTTGAACGTCCTTCGTGAGAAGAGCGCACGATATATGGAAGATATGATTGCTCTCGAAGATGAGAAATCGAAAAATAAGGTATTCTTTCTATTTATTAGACAATTAAACTATTGCTTCAGACCCTTCGTCAGCAGATTGGAGCTCTCAAGGCTCAGAAAGAAGAAAAGGAAGGAGAGCTAGAGAAGTTGACCATTCGAATGGGAAAGGTAGGCTATCTGATTATCTGATGATTCTATATATGAATTTAAGTTGGAATTTGAGCTAGGTGAAGCTAAAAGTAAGCTGATGGCTTCTGAGAAGAAGAACGAAGATCATGTTCATGAAAAATTGCAATTTCAAGATAAAATAGCAGAACGTAAGTGTGCTAATCAAATTGATTTTATTTTTTTTACAACCAACCGACCTGCGCGTCTGACATTTCAAAATGACTGCGTCTATCTAATACATCAGAAAGAACTTCCACGTGACCACGTGGAAGTTTCCACGTTGATGACATATTCTAATTTTTTTTGTTGCAGTGCAATTGAAATATAGAGCGGAAGACAGCCTTCACAGCAATTTAGGAACGTCGATGATTGATTCCGAGGCTGAGGAGTACGTGGATACCCTTTCCTCCATGTACAACGATTTTCTCTTTCAGGAGTCGCTCTCGTATTTTGGAGCAAGAAAAAGAAATCTTGAGGTTACGAGAACGTGTTCGTGAGCTTGAAAAGCTTGAGGAAGAGCAACACGAATGGCATTCTACCAAAGGAAAAATTAGAGAGTTAGAAAGTGAGCTTCAGATTTCCAACACCAAAAAAGCCGAGCTTTTGGTAAGTCTGATGAGATGTATCGTGAATGAGGTTTTTTTTCAGGGTAATATTGAAAAACTAGAGAACGATCTCGAAACCAGAGAGTTTAGTGGTGATGTCAATCAACTTAGAGTTGAAATTGAGAAGAGATCTATTGAGTATGATAAATTATTAGGCCAACTACAAATGCATGACCGTAGAGCCAATGAGGCTGGAGAAGCCGTTAAAAAAATTGAAGGTTCATTGCTATCCTATTCTAACCGACGACTGTCTGTTTAGATTTATTAGCTGAAGAGCGTAAAGAAAAGCACCTTGTAGAAGAAAGGTTTAAAAAAGCATGTCAAACCATTAAGGATTTGGTAAGTTTCCTACTTTTTCTAGAATGTGTCATCACGATGTGTTTCAGGAAATGAAAATGACGGAAACTGACGGATTTTCAAGACATGAATTTGATTCAATGAAATCCGAAAAGGAAAAAAGGGAAAAGACCATTCGCGTTTTGGAGAATGAAATCAAAAAGTTGAACACGAAGCATGAGGAAGAGACTAGGTTGATGACTACCAGTTTTCACTCAGTGGTAAACTTGTTGTTTTGCTCATGAGTGAACATACTGTCTTACAGGCTCAAAAAAAGGTTCAGTTGCAAAGAGACGGTTTGACTGATAAACATAGCATGCTAACCAAGCAGAATGCCGCAAATGCTCATAGTTACAGGTGATTATTATTTTATTCAAATTTTATTCTCTTCAATCCTTCTCTTAAACAACATTCCTCAATTTTCAGATATTGTTAATAATTATTATTTGGGCAGCCTTAACGTGTATCTCTATGTAATTCTGGCACGCTTCCTTTTGCTTTATCAATTGAGCGACCTTATTCTAAGCTTTTACTATATTCATCATCATCAATCATCATCATCATAGATTCTGTGAGAAAACACTATTTATATTCTTTCATATGGTTAAAATGGTTCTTCTTCTTCTCATCCTGTGGTTAGACGTGCTTGAAAACAGGAGGTTCGTGTCAGCTGTTTCATATTGCTTTTCGTCCTTTATCATGCAGCTAACAATCAGAAACATTCTTAACCCGCACTTTGAGGTTGTTTCTCATTCTCATTTTTTCAGTTTTATCATTCCTTTGCTCCTCACACTCTCCAATGTTGCAACACTCGTTGCCTTAGTCTTCCAATGTACGCGTCAAAACTATTTCTGTCACAGAGGAGCTCCGGAGACCACATAACAGAAGCAGAAGAAGAACTTATCTCGGGTGGTTTGTGTATAAAGTATCTTAAGATGTATCTAAGAACACTTACATTTGTATTTATTTTTCTTTCCTTTGTTGCTTTCACTTGTTTTCTTTGTTCTTATCAACATAGGCATTGTTTTAACACTCACATAACTTCTATTTAATATGATTCTTCGGTGCTAATTGTAAAAAAGAAAACTAAAAATAAATTTCTTCTGATTCATGTCTTCCGCGATGACATTGAGAATGGTTGTCTACCTCTTATCCTTTCACAGCTTTTTGCTCTTAACAACCTAATCAAATGATCATAGTAGATGATTACCTTGTCACGAAGCTTTGGCTCGTCTGCCAGGGAGAAGTTTCTCCAGGTATAGCATCAAACGGATCGCCGTCTTAGTCTATTTTTAGAACTTGAACAAGGTACCCAAGCCTCATCCAAGACTTAGCAAGTTGTCTTCTAGCATGGCCGTATTGTGCAATGCTTTTCTTGAATAAATGATTGCTTGCAGGTTTTCATCCCGCTATACAAGGAGGGGAATGAAGAAAGAGTTCTGCTCACTAAACGATCTTCTCTCTTGAGATCACATAGAGGTGAAGTTTGTTTTCCAGGTGGCAAACAAGACAAAGGCGAAAGCTTAGAGCAGGTCTGTTTCATTTGAAATGCAGGCAAAATAGTTTTCAAGACTGCCTTACGAGAGACTCACGAAGAGATTGGACTTGTTGACCAAGCCGTAGACGTTTGGGGAGAGCTCCATCCGGTAGTGACGAAACAGCTCACGTCCTCAGTTACACCCATTGTGGGCTCCATAGAGAACCTAAGCGAACTACAGAACTTGAAAGTGAATACAGATGAAGTGATCGTTGAAATCATGATCGCATAATCTGATCTTCGGTTTTCAGGTACATGTTCTGTTCTCTGTGCCGGTCGAAGAGCTGTGTCACAGCGTTCGATACACTCAGTTTAAAAACAAAAAAATAAAATACCGTCTTCCAGTTTTTGAGTCGGATTCGTATAAAGTATGCGAACAGATGATTCACAGTAGATGTAAACGCCTTTTAAGATTCTGTTTAAACATCCTGACACTGCCTTCCATGGTGACCTGAGGATATGGGGCCTATCAGCTGTGATTCTTCATCAGCTACTTGTCACCTTATATCCGCATTATGCTCCAGATTTAGAAATAGCGTTTTATTAGTACAAGTCCGTTGTACATAGCTGGAGAGTGATAGTTTGCAAGTTCTTGTTCAACATTACAAGTTGGAACGTATTCCTTGAATGTGAATTGATTGTGCCATGGTGTTTGCTCAAACCTTAAAAAAGTTGTTGATTGTTTATAAATTTTTATTACCTTCTATTTTTAGAGGATACGAAAGTTCTTTAGGCCAAGGCTTAGACCATAGATTTGCCTGAGTTGTCGTATAGGCGACGGGATAGCAACACAACGAAGCCATGGAAACGCCTTCTAAACACAAATCCTCCTTTGGTATTTTTGTTGTTTCCAAGGAGTCAAAAACAGAACCGGTTGTGTAGTTGGTGATGTTGAGCTGCTCTTCCATCCGTGTTGATAACCACTGCACTACAAAAGAATGTATTTTTGGTAATCAACCTCATGCTCATTGCACAATGCGTCGGTCAGTACCTGAAGTGAAGTTTGGACTAACCCCTCTAATGACTATTACAGTTGCCATTTCTCTTCTAACGATGATCTGATAATAAGAAACCACATCACAATATTTCACGATAACAATGTGTTGCCGCCCATGACAGCGTTTTACCACATAGGTCGGATCTACTGCTAACCATCTTAAAATTCAGATTCAGATTCCAAATGCAATCTTATCAATATTGAAGGTCCTTGCATATTCTCATTGAAGAAAAATCATTTTCACTGTCTTTCATGCGGGATAGTAAGTAGATGGAGAGTGAATGATCCGTATAAGATAATTTCAGGCATTCTTCTCGTTATCTGTTCACAGCAGCGTGAGCTGTCATAACATGAAGACTCCTCATGTCTTCAAGAATAAAGTCAAAAACGAAGCAAGTCCTTCAACTATATTCATTCATTGATTCATTTAGGTGTGTATCAGACCATTCTGCAAATTAAAAAAGAAGCAGCACTTTCACTGCAAGATTTGTGATCAAGGATTTTCGAGTCGTGAGAAGCTCCTTAGTCATTCTGAAAAACACAATGTGAAGCATAAGCATCTGTCGAAAACATTCAGAAGTATCCATTTCCGAAGTGTTAACGTTAAAGGATAGTTTCCAGATAATCAATTGGTAACTCCGGTTTCTTCAGTTATTCGGAACATTGATGAATTGCCAAAAGATGAGAGTGAAAGTAAAAGTGAAAATGCTATGGGAAACAACTTGAAGCTGGCTTCGCCTTTTCCAGACTTCAGCGCTCCTTTCAATATCTCAAATATCAAAATAGATGTTGGCATGTTGACTTGAGATTTATCATTGAGTATGTACAAAAATAAATGATTTGTCAATTTGTTCTTTCTACTTTCCAAACCAATCGGCAGAATGATCATTATATCCCCAAACTCCATTGTAGAAGGGTCCTTAATAGAAAGATGTTCGATTTCCGTAGAAGGATAACTCACCAAATCGTTCTTGTTGGACGATTTCGAAGTTAGTAGGAGCTGGCAACCCGTATTTATTCTTATGGAACGATATTTCGTGATAGTAGTTACGGTATGCTGAATGAGTGTATAGAGGAGGCAGACCACTATTGTAGAATTTGTCTCTAGAGCACGGCAGTTAGAAAACTAGAGTAAATGGAAAATACCTGTAATATCCGAAACTATCGAAACCACCATTTGAAGGTCCTACACCAAATGGACCATAACCATAATTGTTAGTGAATCCATTACGTTTAAATCTAAGTACACGTAACTACAATCAAGAACGTTGACTAACCTTCCAGGATGAGCAATGGAAATATCAATGCAAATGATGAGAATTAACGGTGTTAACAGCTTCCACAACATGACTCAACTAGGTTTGCCATCCGATGAAAGCAACATGTAGAAACAGGTATCACCATAACTGGATTATTACGTTGCATAATCCATTTCGCTTTGTGATAAATAAGACGACCAACTTGAGAAGTCATTCTTTGAACTTCGACGTAGCAACACACGTACACCACGTGAATATGCGAATGCACCTCTTGCAGTTTTCAACTCATTTCTTGAGCAAATGACGTGTGAGTCGGTTGTATACAAGGTGAACAGTCCAAAGGTTTAATAAGATTATTTAATAAGTAAAACGCTTGAAAAAAAAACAGCTTAGTATGTAAATGATTAGAAAAAAGTCAGAATGTATGATTAGTAGTTTAAATGATTAGCAGCAACAAAGACAGTTTGTGGAACGTTTGATTTTCTCATAGCGTGCTCCTCTGTGTCCATAGTTCTTACCACAGTAGGAACACTTATCCACGTAATTGTTCTTGAGAAGATAGCAACAGGTACAGCATAAACAGCATGTTATGGCACTCATCATCACAATAGCGATCTGCAACAAGTTGTTAAGACGTACCATCATATGGGCTCACCTGGCGCATACGGCTTTGTTTTCTCACTATTACCCCAACTCGACATTTGGGACAGTACCTAGCGCTTTCTCCTCCATTGACACTTGAACTAGCATTAACAACAACATTGATAGCTAAGAGGTAAGCAGTGAATAAGTTGCTTCAGGCATAGCTCACGTTGTTGCGAGATCGCTGAGCCAGCTACTGGTTGTAGGGGTACTCCATAACCGTTCATCATGTATCCTTGGGGGTTCATTAGATTTGGCTGAAAGTTGAAATATTGACCCTGCATATCACTTGGGAAGCTTCCTATCGGTATTCTATAAAGAAAACATAAACTTGAAAATAGAAAGATTTCTTCTGTCTCACTTCTCTGGAAGACCGGGGTTAGGAGTGTTGAAAGCAGTAGCATAGGGAGTTGAAGCCGGAGTCCAGAAGTAACGATCAGGTTGGTTATCTAGGTTATTCGAACCAATGCAGAAATAGGAAAAAACAAACTTACAAACAGAGTTCAAGTTCTCAGGCATCAGAATTTCAGATGGAATACTTTCTTTCTTAAGTACCCAATGGATCAAAGAAACATAACGATATTCTAACCTTCTCATTTTCTGAACTAGCATTTGCGTTTCCAATAAGTAAATTGTCATCAATGATTATCTCTCCATCACTTGGCTCCAAAGTATACGATGGTGGAGGTGAAGTTTCGTTGAAGCCACTCATTCCGGTTTAAAATACTTTCAAGTAATCTAATAGATATACTAAGCAGCAATATTATTTAAAGACTAACATATATGACATTTTCCCGCTTAAGGGTTCAAATCAATCGCCCGTAACAAAGGGACAACAACAGCCAATGTAGTTGGTGTTTGTACCTCGTCCATTCCTCGAGACAGTGTTTATTTATGACAATTCAATATTTATCTTTCAAATATCACCGAGAATGATAACAAAACAATTGCTCCCGGTGAGGCTCGAACTCACGACCTTCAGATTATGAGACTGACGCGCTGCCTACTGCGCTACGGAAGCACATTTAACTAATTGTAAACTACTACTAAGAATCATTAGTGTTCAGGTAGTCATAACAGAAATACTATGAAGTCACGAAACTATGATTAGCAGGCCCACACTTTCCTCATTGAAACATGTTCCGGATAGTCAGTCGATATAGTCAAATATTCGGCACCAACGTTCTCAGGTTCTATTGGAGACATGACTAGACCAAACGTTTTTGGTTTGTTCACGAGCTGAATATGAGCATTATGAGTAACAGGAGAGTGTCAACACACGTACCCTAATTTCTCCAGACCTCATGAAATATACGTTGAATGCGATTTCATTGCCTAACTTATAGTCTTCATCCTCGATTGTAAGGTTCTGCTGATTAGTTCTAACCTCCCTGGGTGTGGGAGTATTCATGTTATAGGCAACCAAGTACGACTATTAAATAATGGATGGTATTAAAAAAGATCTCATGCTTACTTCTCTTCCCAGAACTATCTTAACAACAGGTCGTTGGGCTCTGTTTGAGAAGACCACCGTTAACTCAACTTCAGCCCTGAGCATGTAAACTATGACCACTCGAAAAGTGGGGATTTCCAAATCACTATGCATTATGACCTGATAACAAGAGCTAAGATAACAGTAAATACTAACAATAATGGATGTACCTCCTCTTTTGATTCCACAAAGCACAACAACAGGATAAGCACGAACATTTCACGATATGATCCTCACGGTTATGTCTTCAATTTATGTACTCGATCTGTCATATCCAAGCAACTGGCGACTTGTGCTCATATATTGTGTCCAAGCAACTCAATCATCATGTTTAAACTGCATTATTTCATTCGAATCTAGCTCATGTCTTTTTCAGCACATAAAAATCGGGAAAAAAAGAATACCAGAAACTTGACGCCCTTGAATCTACGATAAATTCGTCAGCAATGAGCCATCTTTCATCATATTTCAAAAGAACAAAGAAACAGTTAAAAACAGCTTAGGAGTATTAGTTAGAGCTCTCATTGATATTTGGCACTTATTGATGATGGAAAGTAACATGAATTCAATTCTGATGCCTACTCGGCAAGATACAGAAGCTCGAAGCTTGAGCGGCGCCTCTTTTGGCTCGCCTCCAAGATATGGTCCGACTCAACTCTGCGGAACGAGCGAGACAATCTTGGCAAATCTTGAAAACTGATCGAAAAAAATATTTTTTCAAAAATTTTTCTGAAACTTGGAG